TAAGTATTGAACAAGTGGATATGGTAACACGCGTCCACGCCCCATCAACCAGCACGTATAGAAGCAGGAGCAGTAGCAGGAGTCGAAGCAGCAGCATAAAGAGGAGCAGACGGCGAAGCAGATGCAACCACGCTCTCAAAAACGCCCACGGTAAACTCCCAGACCCTCTCGGGCCAGCCCTCAGCCCGGTACCGCGCCAGGACGGGCGTGCCGCGGACGATCTCGCTCTTGTCGTCGACCAGCACGGCGCGGCCCGGCTGCCGCTCGCCGCCATCAACCGGCAGGCCAGTAAGGTGGTACGCCTGGCGCTCGCCCGCAGTCTCGGCCGTAGTCCCAACCAGCCACAGGAACGACCCAATCAGGCCCCGCAGCACGGCCACCCACGTGCGGCCCAGCCAGCCGGCACTCTCCGGCGCGGCCATGGCGGCGGCGATGCCGGTGCGCACGAGCCCCGGGTACGCGTGCAGGAACGTGATGTTGGTGTGTTTTGCCGAGAGCAGGTCGAGGGCCAGCGTCGACAGTGTCGTCGTGTGTGCCATCGACGCGCCCGCGGACCACGCGCCCGGCTTGGCCAGCGCCAGGTCGTCTTCGGCGAGCGCTCCCTCGTGGCCGCCATTGAGCACGCAGAGCACGCGCGGCTGCGGCGCGCGCTGTAGGAGGGGTAGCAGCGCCGACGTGAGGCGCATGCGCGAGTAGTACGACAGCGCAAAGGCTGCTTCGAGGGCCTCGGACGTGTCTTTGTTTTGGGTCTGTCAGCGGTGGTTTTGCGCCTATCTGGAGCAGGAGATGTCACTTACAGTGCGCGCCAGCGAGCGGCAGCTTGCCCTGGCTCATGAAGAGGTAGTCGACCTTTGACTCGGCGGCGACGACGGAGCGGGCGAAGGCGTCGACGCCGGCGAGCAGCGAGACGTCGCACTCGAAGAACTTGATGCTTAGCTTCGGGTTGACCGCCTCGACCCGCGCGCGCTGGCTGGCGAAGCGGGATGCAGAGCGGCCGGCGACGTGGAATGTCGCGGACCGGACCATGGATGCCAGCTTCTCGAGCGTCGCCGCGCCGATGCCGCTCGTCGCCCCGGCGAACACAAACACCAGGCCTTCCCGGCCCTGCTTGGCGAAGGCGGCGTTGGCTTGGCTGATCTCGGTGATTTTGACCATGATGGCTGATTTTTGCGGATGGATTTGTTGGAAAATGAGGTGAATGAGTGCGGCTCGGAGTGGTCAGGCCATCTCTTAGACCTAAACACCCCGCATGGCACGCCATACCCAGCCCGCCGGACGTAGCTCTAAAGTCCGTTTGCAGAACTGGGGTCTGCGACTTGCCCGTCAAAGAACCCCTGGAACTAGTGTGGCTATACATGGCCCAAATTTCAACTTCACAGACACCCTTCTGATGCATGATGCAATATGAAAGTTTAACTTGTTGCTGGAGGCGAATAGACGCATTATACTTTGAGTTCCGTTTAGTCTAACCCTACCATGCTCCCCCAGGCTCTGTCAGCCTGTCCAGTAAACGTCGATGTCCATTCCAGTCCTACGCTGCCGGCAGTGGCTCGCCATTCTTGTCGGTACTAGTCTGCTGAACATTGGAGTCGAAGCCTGGGTCTCTTCTTGGCCGCCGCGCAAAGTAGCGAAACATCGTCCTCCGCTGTAGAGATAGGACACGCGTTTGTTAGCTTTATGTCTTAATCTGCTCATGTTTAAGTCTCCTCGACACTACCTCGTCGTTGCCCATCATGAGACCACTAGATCCATGATTGATCCACTAGATCCACGATTATAGGCCACTTGATGAAAAGTCTCTCACCAGGGTGGAGGAGTAGCGCATCGATCCAGGGAGGACGATAGTCTTGCCGTAGCCACTGAAGATGACGTCGACAATCGACTGGCTTGCAGTCTCAAGGTGCAGTCTCGGACTGAAGAAGTTCGCTATTCCCGACTCGTCCTTAACAAGCGGCGATCGCAAAAGATTGAACTTGGCTTTGGTGAGGCGCACCTTTGGCGCGTCGTGAGAGTAGGTAAGTTCCATACGGAGAGCCTAATGGGGGTGAGTAATCAAACAAAATCAGAGTGAAATAGAGCCAGCACGGCTCACCTCGTGAAGTTCGGAGATACCGACATTAGCGGCATAATAGTCGGCGGAGTCTACCCCGCGAATGTGGTCGCCCATGGAGGAGACTGTGATGATATGGCCGTGGTTGTTCCGGGTCATCTCGGGGACGAATTCGTTCACCAGGAGAAACGTAGAAGTAAGGTTGGTTGCAATGGTGCGAATTATGTCGTCGTAGCTGCTCTCCATGATGGCGAAGCTATGCGCAAGGCAGGCATTGCTAATCAGGACGGTTGGGTGGCCAACCTCTCTCTTCACACGGTCGCAAACGAACTGGGTGTCGGACGAGTTGCCGAGGTCGACTTGGTAGTAGTGGACCTTGGAGCCCTCGGGCGGAACCCAGCCGAGGGGCGCGATGTCGAGAACGACGATGGTGATGAGCGGGTTGCGTGCCAGCAGCTTCTGGGCGACGCTGGCGCCGAGGCCGGCGCTACCTCCGGTCACCAAAACGATCTCCCGCTTCTCCCAGTCCCAGTCGCCTGGGTTTGTGGCTTCACGATTGTTAGCCGTCCACTTCACGAACATCTTGCCCAGAGAGATCAGGGCGCCGACAAGGCCGAGATACAAGGCGATGCGGCCTGCCTTGGCGATGCGCTCAACGTCGAGCCGGCCTCCCATCCACGAGGCTGCATTGGCGAGCGTGTCCCGATACGACTCGGACAAGTCGAGGCAAAGAAAAAAGGCGAGGAGGGCGATCGGCAAAGTCAGCCGCTCGTTGAGCAGCGAATCCCGGACGAAGCGACCCACATGGTCGATGGTGAAGCCCTCACGGGCAAGCGAGGTCATTTTCAAAGTCGTACAGGAACGAAATACAGCTCGGCTCACGTCACGGCTCACTAGTGCGGGGCCAGGGGGTTCGTTAATTCGTCTCGAGTCGCACTTTCCGGCTGTTAGCTGCGGGTAAATTAACTGCTCCAGCTGAAAGTCTTTGTGGCGGCTTTTTGCTTACCTTATTCCGTGCTTCAGTCTGCGTTGACCAGATTTGGCAGCAAGCAGTGCCGTGGTTCGAGATGGAATGTTCGGTTCGCGGAAAGAGCGAGCGAGGGGACGCGTTGTCTCTTTTCTCCCCTGGCGCAGTAGCGCCCTACGCTAATTTGGCACCCCTGTCCCAAATCGGCACCCTTCGCTTGGCATCCCCTACTCTGTAGTACGAAAATACTCCAAAAATGGGCAATGGCCTGAGGCGAAGAACTTCCATTCCTAGGCCACGGCATGTGCTTTTTGGCATAGCTGTTAACCTAGCGCCAAGGCACATTATATCCAGAGGGACGCTGTATATGAGCTATTTATCTACCCGGCATCTGGTCTATATTAAAGAAAAGCCGTTTCCCCCGCATTCCCAGATAATCTCACCACGTTACCAGTCACTTACTTCTTGTGCTCCACCACTACAGATACAACGGCCCACCATCGCCGCATCCAACAGCATTGAAGCCCAGTTGACCAATGGTAAGATGGCATGGATCGTCTTCCTTCCCGCCTGTCAATGCCACATTGGCGAATACGCACCTTAGGTATTAACAGACAACAACAGGCATCCATCACGAACCCACCCTTCTCAGGATGGGAAAAAGCCGGCCTGGCGCTGCAACTAACCTTCGCCGCGCCGGTGCAACTGCTTTACAACTTCGGCCTGGTGGTGTCCCGGGCAGCCTGGCGGGGGCTGCCGCTGGGCGACTTTGCGCACTGCGGCTTCATCAGGTTCGTGCTGTGCAACGCGTCGGCGCGGCAGGTGCAGTACCTGTCGCCGCCGACGGCGGCCATGTACGAGCTGTGGATCAACGGCCGGCGCAACGATAAAATCGAAACGGGCGACCAAGTCACGCCCGACGATGCTGCGTGCCTCGCTGCTGCCGGCCGCCTGCAGCACGAAGTCGAGCCGCTGCCCGACGGCGCCTCGTCGCTGCTCTGGCTCGGCAACCGCCGCCGCGCCACAAAGTTCGTCTACTTCCTCCACGGCGGCGGCTACACGCTGCCAATCCAGCCGGGCCACCTGGAGTGGTGTCTTCGTGCATACATCCTGGCTGCGGCTGGCCGGGCGCGTCAGAAGAACGGCAGCCCAGAAGAGGATCAACAGAAAAGGGAGGAAGAAGTCGCCGTGGCCGTGCTGCAGTACACGCTCAGCCCCGGCGCGCAATACCCGACGCAGCTGTGCCAGGCAGCGGCGGGGCTCGCGCACCTGCTGGCGTCGGGCATCGCGCCGGGAAATATCGTCGTCGGGGGCGACTCGGCCGGCGCTAACCTGACGGCCCAGCTTGTTAGCCACCTGTTGCACCCGCACGCGCTTGCGCCACGCATCAAGCTCGCAGCACCGCTAGCCGGTGTGTTCCTCGTATCGCCGTGGGTCAGCGCGCGCGTCGACACGGCGTCGTTCGCTGAGAACGACGGCGTCGACATGCTATCGGCGTCCTTCGTGCGGTCGGCCAACAACCACATCGTGGGCGGCGCGGCCAAGGCAGTCTTCGACGCCGAGGTCGCCAGCGGCGAGGGCTGGGCCATGCCCGCCGACGTCGATGCCAGCTGGTGGGACAGGCTGCGGGATGTCACGCCCGCGCTATACGTCACGGTGGGCAAGCACGAGGTGCTGAGGGATCAGGGGGTTGTGTTTACTGAGGCGGTCAGACGGCGCAATGCCGCGGTCGATGTCCGCCTTGAGGTCATGGACAGCGAGGCGCACGACTTCATCCTGCTGGATGGCCAGGCGAAGCGGGATGGCGATCCGACCAAGCGGATGAGGGCTTGGGCGTCGTCGGTGCTCTGGCCGTAGTACCCGAGACGAGAATCCCAGTTGTTGTTCCATGCCTATGCTTTGGGACACCCCCCTTTTGATACAGGTCACGACAAAAAGAAACCGCCAAAAATGATGGGATTGGAAATTGTATGCCCGTTCTTCTGGATGCGCCCGGGATTGAACCGGGGACCTTTCACAGGGCATTCGTATGGAACTATGCGAAGCGAATATCATACCACTAGACCATGCACCCGGTGGATCAGATTGTATTTTTGACTTTGTTGTGGAGATGTGGCAGTTACGATGCTCTATGGAGGCCGACTCCTCCGAGATGACTCCACTACTCCAGAGGTTCCTGGGTCTTTGGCCAAGTGACAAAACGGTGCTCCCTGGACGGCTTACCTAGTTAGGTATCTTAATGAACTATTTGGAGTGTAGCTTTTTTAATTAAATTGAGCCATCCCTGACTTTGTTATTAAGTTATTGGGAGTACGGCTTTTCCAATTGAATCGAGCCTTATAGACAGGAAGCGCTGCGTGTAGCTCGTTCATGCCCATGGATTCCGACTCGTCAGTCGTCATACGCGCCAACAGCTACTTGTAGCAATGCCTGTATTGGATCGACTTCTCATGGTTTGATGCAGGATTGATCTTGTTCCTGCTTCTGCTTAGGCTCAGATGCCTTTTGGAATAAGTTGCTCAATTTACGCATTGTTGCGGTGATGCTGTATAATGTTATGGTTCATAATTAGTGGGTGCTCAAGCAGCTGCGGTAAAGAAATCTGGAGCACTGGAGTGGAGAGAACTGGCGCCGGAGCTAAAGTGCTCGGTATTGTGGTGCTGTGAAACAATTCCAAAACTGTTTGTTGCTTGAATGATGACGAGCTCAACTAATATCTCTAAATGATAATATCAGAGGTTCCCACATATGTTACGCTTTAAAATGGTAACCTCCTTCACGCCTGCACCTTCTGATCCCCGACCACAATGGTGTGATCTCGAAGAAGTGCCCGGCCAGATCCCCCCACCAGATGCCGGCTTTTGAAAGGACCATACTGCACTCAGTATGACAGTCCCGACTGGTTACCATGCTATGACGACGACATCCCATCCCATGAACCGTTGGCATGGCCCCAGAGAGCACTGACTTGGCGTGGAAGCAAGGCAGTTAGTACTCACAGGTCGGATTGACCGGCCGGATTGACTGGAAGTCAAGAGAGTGACTGACTGGCCAGTCGAATGTCGACAGTCTGGCTGACAGGACTGCTGCAGGCAGGGTAGGCGGTCCGTCAGGGCTGTCAGGAGCGGGTGACAAGCAGTCTGACAGGTCGTGGGCTATAAGATTAGCTATCAGGGACCTTTGCCGGCAGGGCGGAAGGTCGGGTACAGGCCCAGTCTGGACCCGCCAAGGGAGGTTGGACATATCAAATGGTTAATGGACTTGTCAGATGGTCGGTCTCTGGACTATCAGAGGACGTTTAGACATGTTGAAGGGCTTGCAAATCTGTCAAGGACCACGAGAACTATAAAGAATCAACGTGGCAACGGCGATCAGGATCTGCTGCAGCTAAGTTGGACTGCTAAAACTTGGGAGCAAGAGGCGTCCAGGACGCTTCGTCTCGAGAAAATGCCACCACCTCAAACATGCTTAGCACGCGCCCACCTGCGCCACGGTCACTGGTCAGAGTCGTCTACGTGCATGACATGTCTGGAAATGGCCCATCGAACAAGTATTATATTAACTGAACCGGCAGCTCAATAGACTCCCGCCCTCGGCCTACTCGAATTCTCTCCCTCACGCTGCCTCCTCTCAGTCCTGGCCCCCACAATCGCAATCGAGCCCGCCGTCTATCACCAAATTCATACCATTTGAGCTCCAGTGCGGGTTTTCCGCTGCAGCACCCCAGCCTGCTGCAGCTGCTCAATCGCCAACAAGAGATCTTGCAACGAAGAAGGCAATTAATTACTTAGTCAAAAGAGCGTGTCGCCGTGATGAGGAGTCAGCCCAGCGAATTAATTAGCCATAGTATTCAGCATTCTCGCCGCAATGCCTATATTTAGGTGGGATGGCATCGTCCACGGAAGTTCCAAGTCGAAGTCCGGCCAGAAAACGGACTAATCCAAAGTCATTGACCTAGACAAGCTACCCTAGGGCAAGCTACAGATTGCGGCTGATCTTTTTGCGACAATCGATGCCTCGATTCAGCACGTTATGCTAGGTAACAAGCCATACTCCCCCGAGTAGCCCGGAACGATGTTGTCTGAAGTTGCCCAGCTTCAGAAATACATAAAGACGATCAAGGGGCATGACTTGGAGATAAGTACTATGAAAATGTCGCTAGGAATCTTCGAAAAATCCCCGAAAAAAATGAGAAAAGATGGCGAAGAAGCAGAAGAAGCAGCAGGAGAAGAAAAGGGGCAATTAGCGGGGGAGTTTGGAAACTGAGGCACCTAAGTTGGTTTGCTGGGGCAAGATGTTGCTTTCGGGAATGCCCGTGCAGGGAACTATGAAGAGATGGTGGATGCGGTTCAGGGTCTTGGTTAGCTATGTCACAGCGCTCGCAACAATGCAAATATGGTAATGCAAATAGGCCAAATACAAATATTTGCAACTCTAATACGCTAAAAAAAATGGCCCAATCAAGCCAAATATGAAGCCAAAGATGTGGAAATATATTTGGCATATTTGGCATATGTGGGGCTGGTTTATATGGCCCATTTTCCTGGGTTCAGGGTGCCAACAATGGGTTCCCGGCCCAGGAAAAAGTGGATTTTCCAGGCGAAAATCCTGCATTTACCTGGCAGCCTCTGAACAACTGTCTGAACGCAGCCACACCTACGAAAACCCGCACTTCTACTACAACCAAAGCCATTCCGACCTGCCAACACGATGACTAGCCCTCCCGAAAGTCCCTTTTCCTTTTCCGACAGTCCTCCGAACGCCCCCGGCTCGAATTCGGCCAAAGGGTCCTTTCCGACCGAATCTATCGAAAACTCCCTCCCCAGCAGTCAACCTGCCTCCATCGCGAGCCGCATCGAAGCCCTGCTCGCGGTAGACGGCCGCGGGCTTTCTGCCGGCATGAACACATGGCCCTTTATACTGTCAGGAAGAACCCGCTACGTGTTGGAGATGTGGATAGACAAAAAGAAGAAAAGAACATCGTGGATTCGTGATTGGGGTGTCTTTACTGTGGGCTTGAGCCCGGCGGGGGACCGACTCAACGGCCGCAGTTGGATTTGTTCCCTTTGTCCCGATATTACGCTTTTCTGTTCAACAGCTACATCGTCAGCGGCTTCACACCTCAACTCCGTACATCAGAAGTATTACCCTGCGAAGCACCAAGAGCCGCCAGCCAAGAAGCGGAAGCTCGTCAGCGTACTAGATATGCAACGCTTCGGGGCATCAACAAGATCACCGAGTGTTGTGCCTATTCCGGTGTGTTTGGCAGACGCTTTCAAGGATGCAGTCATCGACTGGGTCATTGAAGACTCTATTCCTTTCCACATGATCGAGGGCCCTGCCTTCCGCCATATGCTTGCCCTGGTTTCGCCCGGATTAACGGAAACCCTATTGCCGAAGTCAGCCAACACGATCAAGGCCTGGGTAGAGGAAAGATTCGCTACCCAGGCGGATCAACTTCGTGAAAGAATAATGGCAAGTAAGCACAAAAAGAACCTTTCCTTCGACGCGTGGACTTCGCCGAATGGCGACGCCCTCTTCGGTATATTTCTACACTTCGTTGATGCCTGTGGAAAGCTGGTAAACTGTACTCTGGGCGTGCCCCGCATCTGGGGGAAGCACGGCGGCGATAACCTCGCGCCGATCATCACGAGGGTCCTCGCCGAGTACGGCATAGGTAATGAGGAAGTCGGTTACTTTCAGGCCGACAATACCGACAATAACGATACGAGTATTCGGCATTTAATTCGGGAGCTTGAGCCGGGCCTTGATGCCGACGGCTGGGCTGATTCCGAGGCACGCCGTCGTGTGCGTTGCTTCGGCCACATACTTAACCTTACCGCCAAAGCCTTCATTGAGGGCGACAGTAGAGAGCTGCTCAGGACCCTCGAACCTCACGATAACCTGCAAAACAACCTCGAGGAAGAAGATAAAATCCTCAAGGAATGGCGTAAACGCGGGCCAGTCGGTAAGCTTCACAACCTCGTACACCATGTTCGCTGCAACCCTCAACGCCGGGATTCCTTCCTCAACGTCGCCAACCGGCGGCTGAGCGCCGAGGAGCTTGAGGCTGTTGGTGATCAGGTTTTCTTTGACGACGATTTAATCGGGCTTCAACTCAAAGCTGACAACAGTACTCGATGGAACTCTGTTTATTCTATGATTGAGAGGGCAATTCGGCTTCGCGATGTGCTAGATTACTGGACCTTCCAGTCGTTGCAAAACCCCAACCCGTCAAAAAGAGTCCCTGTTGCCGATGTGTTGAGCCCCGAAGACTGGCATATTTTGAAGGAAGTCAAAACCCAGTTAGAGCCCTTCAAAGTCATCACCAAGCGCTTCGAATATAGGAAGCCACTCTTTTGTGAGGTTATCCCTACGATGTATTACTTGGTTGAAGAGCTTTCTAATCGACGGCTTGCCTATGCACCGGCTCGCCCGGGTCCTGCACCGGCGCCGCCATCTGCCCCGGGACAGGAAGAAATCGTCGTTGCAGAGCCGCCCGCAACACCAAGACGAACGCAACGAGCGACCCGGCCGATCACACACCTACGGGATTACGAAGCCAGCCTTCCTCGCCGATCTAGGGCCAGCTCAATGATGCCCCCCGAGGTCGCGATCGCCGTTAACGTTCGCCTGCCACACCCCGAGCCTGCCGCAGCGCCCGACCTTCCTTTGGCAGGCGAGAGTGAGGTTTTCCTGGCTCAAAGTCTTGATCGCTCAATTGCGAAGCTCAAGAAATACATCAAGAGGTTGGAAGTTACACCGGTTTACTGGGTCTCGATGATTCTACACCCTGGGCATAAGGACAAGTGGATTGTCAGGTACCTACCTGGTGAACAGGTCCTTGATATTATGGCCCTAGTAACTGCGTTCTTCGACTGGCATTACCCCCATATCGAGGTCCCCGAAGTCCCTGTGGAGGTCCAAGACTTCGTAAATACGTACCTTACCGGCCACGATTACTACGACCCCCCCGCCTACCTCTCTGAGCTTCAACAATACCTTCAAGAACCTGTCAAGCCTGTTGATGACATTCTAGCTTGGTGGACTGACAACAAAGACCGCTTTCCACGG